GGCAGGCAGGCCTTCATTTAAACCATTCCCAAATGAAGAATTCTCCTGAATTGAAAGACTAATTCCCCCAAAATAGATTCTGAACATGCTCTTGAATCACTGTTCTTTAGACACTTCTCTTGGTCTAGAAGTTCTTCTTGGCATCTACTCTAAATCTTTCACATTAAATAGCTCCAGCCCATTTCCTGCATTGAAGAAGAGGAAGAGGAAACTATTAAGATTCCTCTACATCCTTCAGATCCTACTTGAGGCTGTTTGGTGGTGGTGTTGGTTGGCTGATCTTCAGCCTTCCCCTGGTTGAATATTCCCAGCTCCCTTCAACTTTCCCCATAGGAACTTTACCCATCAAGTTAATGTAGGTATACTCATTGTTCTCTCTGTGTATGAAAGCCACCACCAAGGCCCTTACCATTTCCCTGGTGGCTTCTTGGTTTCCTTTTCTGATTCCCAGGTCACTCTTTGGTTGTAGAATCAGAAGAGTATACTTAATCAGGCTTAGATTCCCCAGATTTAGGCTCGGTGTCATGGCTCACGCCTATAATCCCAGCACTTTGGGAGGCTGAGTTGGGTGGATCACCGGAGTTCAGGCTGGCCAACATGGCGAAACCCCATCTCTCTAAAAAAACAACCAAAAATAAAAAAAGATACCCCAGGTTTACCCCCTTAACCATCCACCTGGAGAAAGAAAATCATCTTTCTTAAGGTAGTGGCAACCGTTCAAGGAGTGGGATGATCATTCCCAAAGTGCTAGATCTCCAGCTGCAGTAGACATGGTCTTGGGGCTTTGTCCCTGTAAAGGGCCCCCTACCCATCTGATCTTAGCTTGGTTTCCCCACCTCAGTTTCTTCTTGCAGAATAAGATCCAGCAAATTGAGAACCTGGCTTGCGTCCCCTCCTTGCGGTATGTGATGCCAGGGTTCAGGCAGGGTAAGAGGGGTTGGGGGAGCCCAGCCACACCCCAAAGAACTGGTTCAGATTTCTCCAAGCCTGGGGCCTTGTCAGCCAAGGGCCAGCAAGCCTAGCTCTACTCCCTCATCCCGGAAGGCCATGTGTCCCCACTGGTCATCAGCTGCCTCGCCTGGGGGCCCCGGTGTCAGGTGCCCTCCTCTTCTCCTCCAGCTGTTCCATGATTCAGCTCTGCCTCTCTACCCCTTCCTTCCCCTACAGCTTCCTGTCTCTGGCAGGAAACCAAATCAGGCAGGTGGAAAACCTCCTCGACCTCCCGTGCCTCCAGTTCCTGGACCTTTCTGAGAACCTGATAGAAACGTTGAAGCTGGGTAGGAACCCACTTGCCCTGGCTCACCAAACACATCCCACGTGGGGCCTGCCCTTCCGTCTGTGCCCATTTCCCTGTGCTTGTATTAGCCACACCTCTGAAGGTCCATACTTCATCCTTGGGGGGCTCAGGGGGCAGCGTAGGGAGGTAGTGGCTTTGGAATAGAAAGTGGGTATGAGAAGCCCATTCCCATCGCTTCTTGGGCTTTTGGCTAAGATCAAGTGAGAACCCCATTCCCTCTCTCTTTGCTGTGTACAGATGAGTTCCCCCAGAGCCTTCTTATCCTCAACCTGTCTGGAAATAGCTGCACCAACCGGGATGGCTACCGGTGAGGAGTGGGGGGTGGGAAGAAAGGTCATGCCTGAGCTCCACCTGCTAACTCAACCCAGGCCCCTCACAGCCTGCAAACCTGGGGTCACTGTCTGTGGTACCTTCTCCCCCACCTCCTACCTAGCTCATGAGCCACCACCCCTCCAAGTAGGGGTGCTGTGGTGCATGTCTTTGCATCTTCCATGCCAGGGTGCCGTCCTGGGTAACCTCTGCTCTGTCTGCTCTGCAGTGAGCTGGTGACAGAAGCCCTGCCACTTCTCCTGGACCTGGATGGGCAGCCTGTGTCAGAGCGCTGGATCTCAGATGAGGAGGATGAAGCCTCGAATGATGATGAGTTCCCAGAGCTGAGTGGCCCATTCTGCTCAGAGCGAGGTAACCCTGCTTCCCAAGGCTTTTAGCCTCCCCAGAGCCCACCTCTGCCCTGTGGGACATGAGGGAAGCTAAGGGCAGTGATGTCTGGGGAGGGGAGCCCCAAGTTCAGAGCAACATCTGGGCTAGAGCCAGGTGTCAGTCATGGGGCCCAGGCTCAGGCTCCTTCTCACCAGGGATGGCAGGGAGCCAGCCAGAGACCTCCCTGAGCCCAGGGACCCTCCTGCTGAGCCCAGGGCTCCACCCACCTTGCACCCTCCATCTCCCGGCCCTGCACAGGCTTCCTTAAGGAGCTGGAGCAGGAGCTGAGCAGGCACAGGGAGCGCCGGCAGCACGCAGCCCTGACGGAGCACCTGCTGAGGATGGATATGCAGCCCGCCCTCACCGACCTGCTCATGCTGCCTAGGGTGCCCATGGCTGGGGACAGCAGCCCTTCTGTCACTCCTGGGGAAGGGAAGGAGACACTCCCTGAGGCCGTCTCCTCACCCCAGTCCTCCTCTCCCACCAAGAAACCATGCACTGTGGTTCCCAGGAGCCAGCAAAGCTCTCTCTGGGGAAGGAAGGGGGTCCGAGCAGCCACAGCCCCCAAGGCCTCTGTGGCTGGGGCCCCCAGCACAACCAAAACTATGCCCAAGAGAAGCAAGAAATGATACTCTGTGAACCTTTCTCTATGAGTGGAGTGGGGCCTGCCTCCCTTCTCAGACCCCTCACCTGTGACAGGAGCCCATTCCCAGTAAATTGTCTCTAGGCCCTGAATATGCTTTTCGTGTCGCTTGGGGGTGTCTTGGGGGAAGCAACCAGTGAAAGCACCAGGAAACAAAACACAGAGCCCAGTGAGCTGCCTGATTCTAAAGAGCGAGTCTGGAATCTTACGGAAGCTACCCACAGGGCAGGCATGACTCAGGCCCCCCCCCCCCATGGCTTCCTGGCTCCTGCATGGGCAAGAAGTGGGCACCGCCTCATGGAGGATGCTGCCTCACTGCCACCCCTAGAGGGGGCCCTTCCCCGGTCTGAGCCCAGGACCAAGGAGCTGTGGTGCTAATCCTCCCCAGCAGCAGCCAGCTCCTGTCCCCTCCCTGTCCTCCTGCCTAGTCCCCATCACTCAACCATTCATAAGAATGAGGACACAACCACAGGCCCTGCAGCCTGCCCAGGGCTGCCTTTGGGCCTCACTTGGCTCTCCCACCCCCACTGGACCTGGGATAAAGTTCACTGAAGAGAAAATAAAGCACATTTATTAAGGCAAAGGCCAAGTTGGCTGCTCAGAACATGGCCAAGGGGCGTGAAGGGATTGCTCCAACTTCAGCACCACTAGCTCAGGGCAGTTGGCTGCAGGGGTCCAGGCCCACCCCAGGCCAGCAGAAGCTATGAGGCTTACAGGTAAGCCTGGCTCTCCCTCTTCACGAAGGCCTGGAAGAGGCTGCCCAGTTCCTGGAAGGGTGGGGCCCACTCGCTGGCCAGCAGCCCCCGTAAGGCCTTGAGGCCTTCCTGCTCCAGATCCCGCTGTTTTTGCCGGAGCTGCTGCCCCCGATCCTGCCCCAAGGGAAAGTTGAGATGAGTCTGTGCAGGACAGACTTCCCGCCAGGTGAAGGGGGGACAGAGTACCACCTCATACAGGCAGGAGAAAGGAGAGACCTCCCCAATATTCCCCTGGGCAGCTGCCAACTTTCAAGGGAGGAGCTCCTCTCCCCAGCTCTGGAATATCCTCCACGCCCAGGTTCCCTCATTTTTCCAGAGTCTATCATCCCGTCAGGGTAGCCCCATTCCCTGGGGGATACCTGATCACTCTCCATCAGCCCCAGGGCTGCCTGGTGTCCACGGTAGAGGATGTGCCGGCGATCTACCTGAGTCTGGAATCGGGGCAGGGTCCGAACAGGGTCCTGTGCTCCAAAAGTGGGGGACAGCACCTGGGGGGCCTGGGCCACCCCCGCCCCAAAGATAAAAGGTTTGAACACGGACCTAGAGGGGCATGGAGGTGAAAGGACGGAGATATATCAGATCCTCCCTTTTTTTTTTTTTTTTTTTTTTTTTTGAGATGGAGTTTTGCTCTTGTTATCCAGGCTGGAGTGCAATGGCGCGATCTCGGCTCACCGCAACCTCCGCCTCCTGGGTTCAGGCAATTCTCCTGCCTCAGCCTCCTGAGTAGCTGGGATTACAGGCACGCGCCACCATGCCCAGCTAATTTTTTGTATTTTTAGTAGAGACGGGGTTTCACCATGTTGACCAGGATGGTCTCGATCTCTTGACCTCGTGATCCACCCGCCTCGGCCTCCCAAAGTGCTGGGATTACAGGCTTGAGCCACCGCACCCGGCCAGATCCTCCCTTCTTACTGACCTTCCCCACTCTCATTCTTCCCACCTGGATGGGTCTGGCGTGGCCGTGAGAAAGTGCATGCAGGGCTGCATGGGATCCTGGGGCAGGACGGACACCATGCTGGCGGTGGTGCGAAAGCCACCCGAGTCCATACAGATGCCACTCTCCTTGTCCCTGAGGATGCCCATCATCACCTCTGCTGTGATGCCCCCTGCCAAGGAGTAGAGGGGGAAGCTATGGGAGACGAGAGTGGCTGGCACTGCTGTGGCCCTCCCAGCCCTCAGCCCCTCTACCACTCACTGACCTTGCTGTTGCCGCAGCAGCTCCCGCCCTGCCAGGAAGCGGGCCTTGGCAGCCTCCATGCGCACAGGCTGCTGGGTCAGGGAGAAGACCTGAGCAAAGTCAAAGGTGCCCTGCCCATCCCACCAGCCCTGGGCCTGGGCATGGGTCTGAAGCTCCGGGTGTTGGGCCGAGATATCTGTGCCAATGCTCAGCTGGTTGGAGATGTTTCGGGCCCCCTCTGTGGAGGAGATAGGGGAGCAGTTTATTTACCCCTAAGCATCTATTCTAAGCCAGGCACTGGGTGAGGTACTGAGAACATGGTGAAGAGAATGACCTACCCTCGTGGAGCCTACAGTATGGTGGGGGAGGCAAACAAAACAATCAGAAATGTAAGCTGGCAACTGTGTTGAATGTGAGGCAGAAGTACCTGCTTGCGTATAAGCAGGAAACCTGACCACCCAGGGAAGTGCAGGAAGGCTTCCCGGAGGAAGCAGCAGGCTGCAGCACGAGGAAGACTTCCAAGTGAAGGGGAGCAGAGTTCCCAGGTGGACTCATCTCCCATCTCCCTGGATGTCCAGACAGGCTCATAACTGGATCAAGCCCCTCCCTGCTGCTACCATCTGTCATACTTCTCAAGGCTGGCAGAAAGGGAACGCCTCACCCTGGATCCTCTGTGCAGCCCAGAGCCTCCCAGCTGTCTCCAGCACCCATGCCTCAGTGCGGTCAGCCAGCAGGAAGGTGTTATGGTAGCAGAACGGTGCAGGGTCCTCCAGGCAGCTGCCCCCCTGCCCATAGCGCTCCAGTAAGCCTGTGATCACATGCAAGGCCTCCTGGGCAGAGGTGCTCCGTTCCAAAGCCAGCCTGGCAAGAGAGAGGGCCAAGGGACAGAAGGGTGACAGAGGGATCAATGGCGGGTGGCAGAAGCTCCAGGGAACAGAAGAGGCACAGAGAGGTTTGGTGATAGGGTCAAGTCACACAGCAAATCTGCTGGTACTGATCGTATCAAACACAATTATGCCAGTGGCTTTCAACAGTCTGTGGTTCCATGTGCCGCTCTGAGGGTTCCATGAAAAGGCCTGAAACACAGTTTCAGAGAGAGAACTGTGCTTGCTGAACCCCCGAACTCTCTCCACCCAGAGCGGCTCCACTATTACTGATTTTATAAATTGGGACTGTACATGAGATTTCAACTGAAAACAAATAAATAAACCACTGTTCTATTTCTGGGCCAGGAGATGCCCAAAGGTGGCTGCTGCTGCAGCTTCCCTCACGAGGGCACGAGGGCAAAGTCTGCAGAGAGGAGAAGGCCCCCGTGAACCAGGCTGGGGGGAGGGGAGGATGGGCCCTGGTATGTCAGGGAGATGAGGAAGGGCAGGGTCAGCACCTGAGGAGGTCCATGCCCAGCAGGGCTTCCCCCTCCCTAAGTGGCTCCTTAGTCCACACAGCCTCGTTGCCAATGCAGACACCATGCTCGTTGGCGCCCATCTCAGCCCCCCACAGCCAAGAAGGGCGGCTGAGAATCACAGCGTGCGTCTTCGACACCTGTTCCACCTCAATGTAGGTGCACTGGAGGTGAGGGAGGAAAAAGGAAGCGTCCACTCAGAGAGGGGCGGCACCTGACGCCTGCTGGCACTCTGCCAATCACCTTATACATTCCCTTTGAGGAAAGTCTCATTCCCATTTTATAGAAGAGGAAACTGAGGTAGACTGAGGCTACATCATGGGCTCAGAGCCAGGTTAGTAGACCTGAAGCTCATGCTCTTCCCACTACTTCTGGCAGCCTCCCAGGCGTGGGGATCAGGGAAGAAGGTCTTAGAAGAATGCCGAGATCTGCCACACCTTCCAGCACCCCATAAGGCCTAACCCACCTGGAGCCGGCTCCCGGGAGCGTGAGTGCCTGCGGGGACAAACACCACCTCCTGCACCTCGTCCCTGGGTCGGTCCGAGTTCTTGGCAAAGATTACAGCCGGGATGGCTGAGGCTGGGGGCACCGAGACAAAGCAGTCGCAGGAACATGGGGCATCAGGGCTCGACGATGCCATCTGGGGAGAGGAGGGGTTGAGTGCGGGCCTCCTCATAACCCTGGCCACGGCTCAGCCCGGGGGAGCCTCCTCCTCCTGCACGTGCAAACGACGCGCAGGGAAGACACCGCCGTGGCTCCCGGACGCTCGGCGCACACACCATGCACAGGTGTGCAGGAACGGAGGTGACCACTCTCCCCGGGCTCCAGGCCTGGGAGTCGGCAGGCGGGAGCTCCGAGGGGCCCGCCACCACTGGGAGTCCCGCCCCTTCGGAGCAGTGGTGAGACCGTCTCCCTCGCTACTCCACCGAGAGTCCCGCGGCCCTGCGCATGTCCAGACACCCGACCCTCTTCCGTCCAACCCTTCTCTCACCCCCAATACTGTATTGCCCTCACCCTCTCTCCCTCCAAGACCCCAGCTCGGTCCCGGGCGCACCTCCTCAGCTTCTGGCCAGGGCCGTTCCATTGGGCGGAGTCTCTCAGGTGACCTGGAAGGCCTTCGGCCTCGGGGTCGGAACCAGAACGAAGCCTGCAGCTCCGTCGTTTTCCACCAGGGCGCGCGCCTGCACCACTTCCCGGAGCAGAGCGGCCACCTGGCTCACTGCCATACCCGGGTGCCCATTTCAGGCCTGATGAAGGCTGCTCACCCCGGAGTCTCTGCGGGGAGCTGGACCTGGGGGGGTAGAAAGGAGCCCGCGTGAAAAGGGAGACTTTGTCAGAGAGAGGGGACTTTTGGGGCATCTGGAGATTAAGGAAGAACCTCAGATACTTGAGTACTGGTTTGAATCTCAGAGGCGCAATCCCAGGCTGGAGGCGCACAAGGGAGTAAGTCACAGAATGCGAGAGTGGTGGAGGCTCGGTGCAGTGGCCCGCCCTGTAACCCCAGCACTCTGGGAGGCCGTGGTGGGTGAATCGCTGGTACCCAGGTGTTCAAGACTAGCCTGGGTAACATACCAAGACCTCGCCTCTAGAGAAAATATTTTAAAATTAGCTGGGCGTGGGCTGGGCGCGGTGGTTCGCACCTGCAATCCCAACACTTTGGGATGCCAAGGCGGGCGGATCACGAGGTCAGGAGTTCGAGACTAGCCTGGCCAACATGGTGAAACCCTGTCTCTACTAAAAATACAAAAATTAGCCGGGTGTGGTGGCAAGCACCTGTAATCCCAGCTACTCAGGAGGCTGAGGCAGGAGAATCACTTGAAACTGGAAGGCGGAGGTTGTAGTGAGCCGAGATGGTGCCACTGTATTCCAGCCTGGGTGAAAAAGCGAGACTCCGTCTCAAAATAAATAAATAAATAAGCTGGGCATGATAGTGGGTTCCTGTAGTCCCAGCTATTCAGGAGGCTGAGTTGGAGGATCGCTTGAGCCAGAAAGGTTGAGGCTTCAGTGACCTGAGATTACGCCACTGCCCCCCAGCCTCAGTGACAGAGCAAGACCCTGTCTCTTAAAATAAATAAATAAGGGAATATGTGCACAAAACCCATCTATTTGTCCAATGGTGCTCAAACCCATGGAAAAAATAGCTTTGAAAGGAAATTTAAAACTTTCCAGTTCAAAGCTTTGGTGCCTTTACCTATAGTGAAACTGAAACCGCAAAGAAGTCTTGGCCAAAGGTGACACACGGTCATGTGGCGTTATACTCTGATCCCAAATGTTTTGATTTTCAGTTCATTTTTCTCTGCAAACCATCTCTCCATAACTATCATTAAGGCAAATGCAGCTTACACCCTTTTGCTCTGTGGAGCCCTCCAGAAATGGAGGAAGGGGAGATGCTGCAAGGTTATCTACTTTCAGGAGTTGCACTGAATCCATAGATGGCTTTGAGTAGTATGCACATTTTAGCAATATTAATTCTTCCAATCTGTCAGCACGAAATATCTTTCCATGTCGTTGTGTCTTCTTCAGTTTACTTCATCAATGTCTTATCATTTTCATAGTACAGATCTTTCACCTCCTTGGTTAAATTTATTCCTGAATATTTTATTATTTTGAAGGCTATTGTAAGTGGGACTGTTGATTTCTTTTTGTACAGTTCGTTGTTAGTGTATAGGAACACTACTGACTTTTGTACATTGACCTTGTATCCCGTGACTTTACTGTATTTGCTTATCAATTCTAACAGTGTTTTAGTGGAGTTTGGTTTTCTTTCAAGCCTACTCTAGGGTGCTGGCAGTCAGGCACACTGGGATCAGTGGGAAGGTGAAGGCTGTCTGATACAATGTCCAGGAGGGGTTGTGAGGTTGCCATTTAATGTCATTCCAGAAGCAAACATCAAGGCTCTGTGCTGACAAACCTGGGAACCGGAAGCAGCTTGAAGGAAAGCAGGTTCACCTCCTGCAGTTCCCAGGCTGTCCACTGTGGGGTGGAAAGAGGCAGGAGGAGAGGCAGGGAGAGGCCACGGCGCATACCCAGGTGGCAGTTCCCAGGCTGTCTTCTCTGTCACTTTCTCATTTCTTATTTAATTCACCCACCCTAGAGGATGGGAGTAGATTCTCCTTCCACTTCCCAGGAGAGGAACCGAGAGAGCCAGCCCAGAGATGTTCTGATTTCCCTAACTTCTTCCTGGGCCCTCCTTAATCCTCCTGCCAGGCACCCCATCTGAGGGGAGGTCAGAGGTGGCCTTGGGCTCTGGGGGGAGGGGGAGGGCAGGCCAGCCAGGCAGCATTTCCAGCAAGCAAGCAAGCGTCAGAGCCCCACCAAAGGCCCCCGCTAAGAATGCAGGTCAGCGGGAGGAGCTGCATGGGGAGGAGGGGCGGCCCCAGCCCTGCCCAGACAAGCCCAGCCGGCCCCACAGCTGCCCTCCTGTCCCTGGGGGCAGCGAAGGGGGTAAAGGAGGATGGGACTCACCAAGTTCCTGGGGTCTAACTCCCCTGGAACCAGGAAGACAAAAGAGGCACCCGGAGGAGTGGGGCTGGCACGAGGTCTCAGGAAAATGTACCCGTCCCTTCTTCTCCCAGGCTTCTAAATCTAGCAGCAGATGGAAACAAACAGCTGGCTCCCAAACCAGTCTAATTTCCTCTGTGACCCCTAAATCATTCATTCTGATGCTCCCATCCTAAGGTGGCCATAAACATGTGATCCCAGAATCTCCCAAATTAAGTTATGGGATGGGCCAGCCTGAGTACCAGATTTGGGTTCTAAAAATTGGGTTAGGGTTAGAGTGGTGGATATAGAAATCCCACTGGGGAAAATAATAAGTTTGGCAAAAAGTAGAATGAGATAGTGAAAGAACAGTAACCCACCCTGCCCCCCTGGAACCTAAAACCTATCTTCTGTCAACCTTCTTAGCCTTGGGGCTTTGGAATCATGAGGGTTTTTTTACCCATTTGACATGAATTAGGCACCAACTTTTTATCAAGCACTGGGACGCCTGGGAAGATGTGTACAGGGGATATTTCTGCATATCTCCGGGGACGGGTGCACGCAGGTCAAGTGCCAGTATGTTTGTGTGCCCTGTGGTTGTGTAACCATGGTGGGTCTCTAGCTGTGAGTTGCAGTAGGAGCCTTTCCCTCATACTTTCCAGCTGGGCGGGAGCCCATCAGATAGCTCGGCTGCCTTTCATCGCCTTGTCCCTGATAAGGATCAACCTGGGTGAAGAAATCACTGCCAGTCACCCCCAGCTCAGTCACAGCCAGGGGATGGACTGACATGCACCCTCCATGGGGATGACGCGAGGGAGCCAGTGTCTGGGAAAGGCGGGAACTAGTGTTCTTAGCAGGGGAAGGGAAAGAAGGGGCTTGTATGTGGAGGAGGAACGTGATATCTAGAAACTTCGAACAACCAACCACAGGTATGAAACCAGGGAGGGACAGCCTGGGGATCAACCCAGAGGAAGCACCTCCCTCCTTCTGTACCAGCTACCTCTGGGGCAGGATCAGACACCAGCTCCAACCCAACTCAATAGACGTGAGGCTTCCCAAGGGGCTGCAGGATCACTGGGAAGCATCCACCCCACTCTGTGGCCGAGACCTGGTTCTCACTGCTGAGGGACACTGAGTCAAAAAGGAAACACAGCTGGAACACAAAGTAAGCATGATGTAGTTGATGACTTTATTGCATAAAAAACACAGGCTGTTTCTCCCTCCTCCTACCCCCTCAAAGTGAGTTCACAGCAGTTAAAGAAAAAATAAATTCCTACATTTTTCCTCTAGGGGGGCTGCCTAGAAAGACAGGCAGCCAAGCAGCCTAGATCTATAAAAGAGGGGAGCAGAAGAAAACCTATCCAAAGCCTCCACCCCCATACCTCAGAGCCTGGGGCTTCCGTTGAGGGGAGCATCTGTGTCCCCTACCACCACCAACACCCATTTGGGAGTTCCCCTTAGGATGGCCACTGGAAAAGGCTGTCTCAGTGGCACAGGGAGGGGGTGGCTGGTTTCGATGGGTGGAGGAGAAAGGCATCCCACACCCACAGTGCCGTTCATCTCTCCCCCTCTCCACCTGGTCAGGCAACTTGCGGGCAGTGCCAACTCTCCTCCTGCCCCCAACCCTCCCAGCAAGGAAGGGGATCTGTGGTTGGGTTAGCAGGAGGTAGGGAAAAGAGGAAAAAGAACATTACTTCTTAAACTACCCCAGACCAATGAGTCCCTCGGGAAGGTCACCCTGTCCATTTTTAAGGAGGACCCCTTTGTATACAAACACATATTCCCACCCAGATCCCAGCCCCCACTTCCCATATAACTCCCAGACCTTGGACTGGGCTCCAGCAACTACAAGGGAGGAAGGAGATGCTGGGTCCAGATCCCAGATCTTGGATGGGGTGAATAAGATGGGGTCTCCCTGGCTGGAGACCCCAGGCTCAGTAGAGAAATACACACATGCACGCAGGTACACACAACATGCACACACATAACCTAATATTAAATAAAATACCCTTTGCTTATAACTTAAAAATCAATACACAGCTAATCTCTGCAGAGGCCTCCGGGTGAAGAAAGGGGCAAGGGGAAGGGAGAGGGGTGTCAGAGGGACTCTAAGGCCCCTGTCCAACCTGGGAAAGCCCTCCCGCTGCAGGGGCCTGTGGCCTGCCAGACCCTTCCTCATATCAGTTTCTTTCCCTTCTGCCTGGCTTAGCCTCTGATGGACTTCTCCCCTCCCTGCCTCCCTTCCTTCCTTTCTCCTCAACCCCAAGATCAGAATCAAAATGTATTTCTAGCATCTAAAGGAGAAGGAAATGGGGACAGCTTCCTGGATGTCACCTCAGAAGGCAGAACCCCTTCCAGTGGGAGAACAACTCTTTCTTCTCCCTGCCCCTGTGAGATGACAGGGAGGAGGGAATCCCCTAATGAAACATGCTAGGGCAGGGGCAAGGGAAAGCCAGGGTCCAAGCTAGAGAGACAGTGGGGCTTAATTTCTTAGTGATGCCAAAGAGATGGTCAGGCAGGCAGAAGGCCTCCACTCTGAGTGGGAACCAGTGGAGGTCCCTCTGCTGAGACACCCCCAATCTGCCCCCAACCAGCCCAAGAAACCCTCTTCCTTCTGTCCTCGAGAAGAAGGCAACTGGTGGGAACCTAGGGTAAGGAATTACATGGATTCTACGGCTGGCTGCCTTGAAAACACACCTAGGGTAAAAGATGGGGAACATGACTACTAAACTTTATTTCTCATAAAGACCAAGAATTAAGGGCTGAATTAGAGTTGGAGAGGGAAGGGGTTAGTTCCTTCCATCCTCCACCCAATACTTATCTCTTTTTTTTTT